AAAATAATCATTTTTATAACAAAAATATATAACTTTTCCTTTAAAAAACTGAAGTAAATAGAAAATGCTTTATTTTCCTCTGAAACATTTTTCAATAAGCTTTTTGGGTGAATAAAAATGATGCAAAATAAATGGATGAGTCTGAGAAAAGTTATGCTAAACGAAGGAAGTCTTATAGAAAAAAATCACATGCTAAATTATGTCTGAAATGAGTATATTCTATATGATGAAAAATTAAAATGGAAATGGATTAATGGATAGCTGACAAAGCAAAGAGAATACATTTTAATAGAAAAATCTAGGTGCTGAGTATATAAAGAAGGACGTCCGGAAGGTCTCCCAGAAGGTGTCCTGATCTAATTAGCATATTACCCTTTTATTAGTATAGATGTCAATCTCTAACAAAACTACAGCATATTCTTGAACAAAATATCTTCTTAAATGGCACTGTTGAATACTTAGGATATAGTGAAATATGATGAGAATATGATCCCATTTCAGATGAGAAAGCTCAATAAAAGTATTAAAAAATACAGACAAAAAACATGGTAGTTATTTTGGGGTGATGGAATTAGATGATTTTATTTTTCTTATATATTATAAATTTTCTAAAATAATCATTTTTATAACAAAAATATATAACTTTTCCTTTAAAAAACTGAAGTAAATAGAAAATGCTTTATTTTCCTCTGAAACATTTTTCAATAAGCTTTTTGGGTGAATAAAAATGATGCAAAATAAATGGATGAGTCTGAGAAAAGTTATGCTAAACGAAGGAAGTCTTATAGAAAAAAATCACTTTTTTATTCTGGGCCAGCTTTAGCTCTGAGGCCTCGCTGCTGAAAACATGGATACAATGTTTCGGTCCGGCTGGGTTTCAGTCCGGCTGTTTTCTGGGGTTTTGTTTACCTTCTTATTTGCAACATAGTATATAGTTGCTTAGACTTGCAGATGAGAGGCAGGCAAGTGAGGTGGGGAATGTTGGAGTCTGCAGCAAGCAAGCCTCCCTGCTCGCTTCAGTGCCTGGCTGCCGGCCGCCATCTTGGCTGACAGTTAATTTGCATATACTCACTGATTAGCCAACGAAAAGGGTAGCGGTCGTACGCTAATTACCATGTTTCTCTTTTATTAGTGTAGATGTCAATCTCTAACAAAACTACAGCATATTCTTGAACAAAATATCTTCTAAAATGGCACTGCAGAATACTTAGGATATAGTGAAATATGATGAGAATATGATCCCATTTCAGATGAGAAAGCTCAATAAAAGTATTAAAAATTACAGACAAAAAACATGGTAATTATTTTGGGGTGATGGAATTAGATGATTTTATTTTTCTTATATATTATAAATTTTCTAAAATAATCATTTTTGTAACAAAAATATATAACTTTTCCTTTAAAAAAAACTGAAGCAAATAGAAAATGCTTTATTTTCCTCTGAAACATTTTTCAGTAAGCTTTTTGGGTGAATAAAAATGATGCAAAATAAAAAATAAAAATGATGCAAAATAAATGGATGAGTCTGAGAACAGTTATGCTAAATGAAGGAAGTCTTATAGAAAAAAATCACATGCTAAATTATGTCTGAAATGAGTATATTCTATATGATGAAAAATTAAAATGGATTAATGGATAGCTGACAAAGCAAAGAGAATACATTTTAATAGAAAAATCTAGGTGCTGAGTATATAAATA